GGATGGTAAAGCCCTCATAATTGCCTTTACAATTAATTTCATGAGAGTAGTTCTGACTATAAAGATGTTGTATATTAAATAAGTGATGAATGAAGATACATCATACCTGCTTATTTAATTATTGATCCAATTAAGTAAGCGTTCTGCTGTCCATGCATCATCAATTACATGTATTTTAGCTTTTGCTTGATTGGTTGTCCAGCCAGCAGAAAACTTTATAAGAGGACCCCAAAACAGCATAGGATAGTGACCCATAGAAAACATATCACAGATTTTAGTATTTTGATGTGCTGCCAAACAAGTCAAGAACCAAAGTAAAATTAACAAGCAACATTCTTCAACAACCAAAAACAAGAGTCAAAAAGAAGTGTGCCAAAAGGAATGCAGTATTTTATATAGCGTTAACAGGGCAAGGCTAAATAAGTAGTAAATCTAAATACATGGTCTAAAAAGAACAGCCACCTTACATGGCTGCACTCCAACTCCAGAAAACTCACAAAAATAATGATATTAATAGTGCTACTTTCATTTAAGTTTCATATTAACAACTTTGCTCCGCAACTGGAGAAGGCCCAAATGACAGAAAGCATTAAAAGTGCTAATATCTAAATGCTCTCTTTTTTATTGCCTCTGCCTCCATGATCCCATCGATGACATCATAAGGCAATTATTTTCTCAATGACATACATTTTAACTTCCATGATTTCTGATCAGGACAATATTAGTTTCACTTGCTCCAAATTTTTAATTCTACGCATTTCTTCTTAAAAAAAAAAAAAAAAAAAACCAGAAAATTATGTTTGCAATATATAAGATCTTCCTAACAAATAACAATCCAAAAATCATTTTAAAAGAAGTCTTGGTTTCTAATAATTCTAAGTTCTTGGAAATTTTCAGGAACATTCAACAAATCCACTCCATATCCAGAGAACCTCTAACTCACACCAATTTAAAACTTCTAGATACCTTGTGGACAATGTTAGTTATTAGTTATGTAATGGGAATAAATCAGGGACTCAATCTAATATAGCCTGACAAACACTTTGGAGTATGGAGATTATTGTGTTTTTCTTCTTCTTTTTTCCCCTTTACACCAGTCATCTATGAGGCCTTTTTATCAAATCAGGTATACTTAAGCTTTATTTCTAAGGAAGAAAATCAAAGATAGGTAAGGGCCCATTTAAACTGGTAAAGAAAACTTATGCCACTGAGAAGGGTGGGAAGGAGGTGGTAAAGATTTCAACATAGATATTGAGAGCTTACTAAGTTTGTTATCCAACAAATATGCTCAATCTACAAAAGAGAGGGAAAAAAAACACTGAATTGGTCTTTTAAGCTCACGCAAATGAATTTTAATATATATATATAAATATATACTCAAATAAGTAAAGAAGTATTAATAGATACCTCTTGATGTTTGGCTGTGTTAAGAAATGCTTGAATGGAGCAATAACTAAATACAACCACTTGTTCTATCAAATGTAACTGTCTATCTGTTCCATGACAGATGCTATTCAAAGTTCAAACTACTTGTTCTAGCTATTAAACGTAAGACATTAAAACTTTATTTTCAAAATTCTGGATGCACACAAACTTTTCAACTCCATCTTAAATTCCAGTATTATGCTAGTAAGGCAAAGACATGCTATTGAAGAAACAAGTATTTTTACAGCACTATTTCCTTGGGGCTGCACTTTGCAAGTATCCAGAAGAAAAAATAAATACCTTTGATGCACAGTCTACTCTAGTCATCAATATGATACCAGGATGCACAGCACCAGGTCCATTGAAAAGTCTTGCAACTTTTTCATAATGGGGCTGCAAAATTGTAGGTAAAGCAGCAAAAATCATAAGAATATGAAACACAAAAAATGCTAAGTGAAAAATATACCACACGATACCTTGTAATTTCTGAAAGGAGGGCACCTGAAAAGTAATAATCACACAGAAGAGACGAATGTCATATAACATCATAACAGGCATAAAGCATGGAACTCAACTACTAGCTATGTAACACTAACTTAATCAGCATGGTAGTATCATGGAAAAAGGCAAGCACACTGCATCGAAGCACACAGGCCCATGCATGGAAAGGTGTCTTTCTTATGGAAAAGGAAAATCTTTTGCAATTATAAACTAAATAAAATCAAGCAAACAAGCTAACTACTAGGAAAAAAAATTAAATAGATGGTACCTAAATCAATATGCTACATCAACCTGTCTGTGAAATGCGAACAACTGTGATTAAAAATTGGTTTGCTAACAAAGGGCTTTGACATAGCAACTCTGAAAAGTTAGACAGGGGGATGCACTATATTTTATATGTTCTTAACCATAGAATGTCAGAGATATTTTGATACTAGGTTATAGGATTCTGGTTGAGTTGTGCAATCTTTGAATTAAAAGGAACACCTATAATGGCATTCAAATGGGCTTCAGCCAGAAGTACATGCAGCTGAACATGTCAACTGTAACTGATGTACATGTTTCATAGACTGTCTATAGGAGGTACACAATGCGATTTGTTCCTCTAAAAATCAATTAGCCAATTGCAGTTGTGGTCAACTGTCCAAATGAAGACATCGTTGTATCTCCAGCTAGTAAGGCAAAGCCTAATATCATCGTATCCCCAGCTTGCAAGGAAAAGCACAAAATAAACTATACCATGAAAATGGTTGACAATATGCTACAGGCCATTTGGAAACAACAAAAATGTCACACTGCAAAAGAGCTAAGCAAGGAGAATTTGTCCATGGCTTCAAGGCCTAATTTTGGATCTATTTTGAATTCCATTCCATTAGGTACAGTTTCAGAAGGGAGTACATGTCAACAAGGTGGTGTTCACTTTTTCTCAAGTTTTGCCAAAATTTGGATGGCCATACGCTCATATCTATGCTCATCCAAAGTTGTCTAATTTCTAACAAACTTAGGTAGTTTAGTCGGGAAAAAATGATGCATTACATGTTATAATATCATGCAAGTTTGTTGTGCAAGTAAAAAAAGGAGCAATTTTGGACAGTGAATTAAAAAAGAAATTTAATTTCTAAAAATTTATTGCTTTAATTTTTAAATTCCAGCAACTATAATACTAAGGCATAAGAGACCAAAACTTCTTGAGGTAGACCATGAAAGACGTGGATGCAAGTACTAAGAAATAATACGAAGGTTAAGGAAGTAGATGAAAAGGTTGTTTTTGATAGAAATGAGTAGTCCAAGAAGATTCAAAACTACAACTTAACATTTTTTTTTTGTCTTTCATACAGCCGACTCCACAGTATGGGATATAAGTTTAGTTTGTTGTTGTTGTATACTACTAAGGCATCCAATTATATGCAAAGGATACTGATAAAGGTTTCAATATGTCCATCCTACACTTAAAGCTATATATCTTTGTTAATCAACTCAAATAGAAATTCCTATTATCATCACTATAATCGATTCAGATTAGAAATTAGACTAACTTCCAGCAGATTAAAGTTTTTATCAAGTAAGAAATCCACGTAATTAGAAAAAAAAAAAAAAACTTTTCTTCAACGGTCAACAGTGTTTAAAAACTATAAAACTTGAGCATATTTTTGTGCTCAAAGCTCAGAGTGGGGAAATCATAAAAAGAGTACTAACCAGTGAGCGAAGAATTCGACTATGGCGTAAGTAGCTGGAGCATCCTTGAGAACTCCATCGAAATTCGTGACATTCAACTCGACGGCGTAGTCTTTCGGGTCACTACCGGCACCGCAGCCGCCATTGTTATTCCCAATCTCTCGAAGTACAGTCCGCTATCCCGCTTTTAACGACGTCGCTTTCAAGATCCAAAGGTTCAAAATCAGAATCCAATATGCAAGATACATGGAATTGGAAGAGAGGAAAAAACTGATTGTTTAAATATTTATTTATTTTCGCACAGATTCGTCGGAATTCAAATTAGAGCTTTTCTTTCTTTCTTTTTATGACGTTTTGTGGAGGTCTCATTGGATATTAATTTTTTTTTCTTTTAAATGCAGAGAGATCTTGGTTAGGAGTTAGGAGAAGAAGATGGCGATGTTGGGTGAGTTTCGAGTTTAAGACTCTGCAAAACATTTTTTGAATTTTAATTATTTAATTATATTATATTATATCAAATTCAAAACAAGAAAATAATAATATCCAGCGTTGAAATTTGACCCTTAAATTAATTATTGGGTTAATATTATTTGAACCTTAGATTTAATGTCGTTTTTTAAAAATAACTTTATAAATTAAATTAATTAATTAAGATAAATTTTGAATTAAATTTAACAATTTATAAATTTATATCATATTTATTTTTATTAAATATAAAATTATTCTATTAAATTTATATAATATTTTGCAAATAAGATTTTTTAAAATTTTATAAATTTTATATTTTTTTAATATTTAAAATTATAAAATTTTAAATTTTAATTATTAAAATTAAAATTTTAATACTCTATCAATTTTTAATAACTCAGATAATTATTGACAACTTATGTATAATTTTTATTAATTAAATCATATCATTTTCATATTTGTTTATATTAATTTTATATAATATTATATTTAAAATTATCAGATGATTTCAATTTTTTTTGTAAACCATTCATACTAAACTCGAAATCACCTTAAATTCTTATTTGACTATTTCATATTTGCTCCGATTTACAAAGGTTTTTTTTGTTCCCAATAAATGTAATGCTTCCGATCTTCTGTCCCGGCCCAATAATTAATTTTAGTGGCATTGTAAGTTAGCCCAAACCCATTAATTCCAGCCGAGTTAGCCTGGGTAACTCATACATCGTCCGAAACTGAGCACCTGTAATTAAAAGAAAGCCCACGTAAGGTATGGCCAGGTGTAACACGATCAAACACAACTTCAGAGTAGTCGCCCGCTCTCTCAATTTGTAACGCAAAATCTTCGGTCCTACTAATCATTTCTTTTCCGAATTTTTCGTTTTGATTGAATCATTCATCTTGGCAATGTCTGTTCTCTTCAACTACTTAATTCTTTTTTTATTATTATTTTTTGTTTCTTGAAGAACTGAATCTCGGTTCCCTTCTTTGTCAGGTTCCACAGAACCAGGAAAGTTTAGTTCATTCCAGATCAGCAGTTTTCATTAAAGTAAAAATGTCCGGTGTATCTCTTGCTGTGGCTACTAGAAGTGAGCCTGATCACCCCATAGAAGCCGGGGAAAAACCTGAACACAAACTTCTTCGCCAGCAGCAGCAACAATCAGTGGTGGGCGGTGTGATGGGATCATTGCGTGTGATTGAACTCCAACTAATAGCTTTCATTATGGTTTTTTCAATTAGTGGCCTTGTCCCACTCCTTGATTTAGTCTTCCCAGCTTTTTCCTCCACTTATATTATTGCCCTTTCACGCTTTGCCTTCCCATCCCACGGTCGTGTATCCACCACCTCGCAAGAGATTTTCCAAGGCAGCAAACTCTTTAGGCTCTATGTGATTCTTGGAACTACCATAGGGCTTTTTTGGCCACTGGCGTATGTCTTGGGTGGCTTTGCTAGGGGTGATAACCATGCTGTTCGATTGGCTACACCTCACTTGTTCTTGCTTTCATTTCAAATACCAACAGAAAATGTGTTAAGTGGGCTGTCTTTATTTTCACCACCGGTAAGGGCACTTGTCCCATTACTATATACAGTCAGGAGGATCTTTGTTATCATGGACTGGATACATGATGTTTGGCTCAGCAAAACACTGCCTGCAAATGCACATTTGAAGGTGATTCTTAACCCAATATTTCTTGTTTCAGGTAATTGAAAATTGTCAATTTTTATGCAGCCTGCTTTAAAAAAGTCTAAAATATTCTAATATTGATTGTGCAGGACATAGCTTGGGATTGGTTTGGGAAGGGCCTGGCAGCTGCAAACGTACTGTACTTCTCAATCAATCTCTTATGCTTTTTGATTCCTCGATTCCTCCCTCGGGCATTAGGGAGGTATTTTAGGGAGAGGGATGAGGTTCATGGTAAGATGTCATAGGACAAGCTTTCTATAGCAGCAGACAAATCTCAAACAACAGATAAGAAAGTTGATTGACACTGCTCTCACGTGTTCTCTGCTGTCCACACCACTTAAAATGGTTGCAGTGTGTAAAACGGTTAGTATTAAAAAGCAATAGCATTTCTTTTTCTGATGCACCGAAACATTCGTCCTTTTTGTAGCCTTTTGACAATGACAATGTTCGATTAATTTCTAGCTTATTTGTTCATCTACCTGTGATTTTCAATGAATCATTCTTTTCACTTTGTATGGTACCAATAGTTATGACATAATGGGAGAAGTCTTAGATTTCATTGTTTGATGTTGTTGCCATAGGACAGGCATATTCTAGGTCTGATGGAAAAGCAAAAGACTTATATTTCGTAGCAAAGTTCTATTAATAGAAAACAGAAGTTGCAGCCTACGATAAACATAAGTACTGTATATGGAATAAGAGTCCATTGAAATATGAAACCTTCCAATTGAGCATAGAAGTTATTATCTGTTTCAGACCCCTTGACAGAGACATGTCCAAGTTACCATATTAGCTACTTGGTGTTAAAGCAGAGCAAAAAAACAAAAAAAGAACAGGAAAAACAAAGGGAACTGAGAGTACTAAAGCAGGTTATACAAAACAAGGAAATGGGAGCTTGTTGAAAGAGGAATTGCTTGCTTGTTGCTGTTGGTTTCTTATCCTTTGCTTTCACTGGCTTTGCTTCAAAATCCCAATTTTGTGTATGATATCCTTTTTCCTTTGGTTGGTGAGAATCTCATAAGCAAGCAAGAGGACATAATTGAAGGTTTAAAATATTTGTTTGTTTCAAGGTTTGAATAGAAGAAATTCATGTATTAATTAAGATTAAATTTGAATTTTAAACTTATTGAATATTAAATGATTATATAAATTAACTAAATTAAGTCTCAGTTCAATCTTGAAATTTTTCATGTTGTTAGTTCAATTAAAATTTCCTAGATAATATGATCT